GCCGCGCCCTGCCCGCGGCCCGGGGTCCGGCTGGCCGCAGCTCATCTGGCCCCTCGAGAGCACAGGCTCAGGCTCCTCTCGCTGGCTTTTTCTTTGTTTTTCCTGAAGGGCTTGGGGGTGTGGGCGCTGGGCGGCCCCCGCTCTGGCCGCTCTCCGGAGGCCCGGCCGGGCCGCCCTGGCCGCCAGGGTCTGACTGGCCAGGCTGCGCGCTCTGGCGGCCAGCCAGGGGCGTGCTGAGGGCGGGCGGCCCGCAGGCCTCGCAGCACACAGCCGCCGGGCTGTGCGGCCCCTGCCAGCCTCCGGCCTCCGGCCTGCCGGGCAGCTGCGGCGTTTGCAGCTGGGCGCTGCGGACACCTGATGACACAGAGGTCACTGCGCCACCTCAGCTGTCTGACTTGGGCCGCTGCCCGGGCGCCCTCCTGAGCACCCCAGCGGGGCGGGGCCCCCACCGGGGAGGGCTGCGCAGTGTCCCCGCTGCACCAGCGGGCGCCGGCGGGGTGGCGGCTGCTGGGCACACGGTGGTGCCCATGCTGGGGACCGGGAGAGAGCCGCGGCGCGGGCCCGGGGCGGTGTCCTGGCACACAGAGAGCGGGCGGCTCTGGCCCGCGCGAAGCAGGGCTTGTGTGCGAAGACTGGGGTGACACCTGCCCCGCCAGCAGGGCTGGAGGCCCCCAGGGCAGGAGGGGCCCACCCCCGCGGCCCTGGGCTGTCGCCCTGGACACTGGCCCTCCTGCCCGCCGCCGCCCGCCCGCCTGCCGGGAGCCTCTGGGGACGCGGGGGACGGCGGCCAGAGCACTCAGGCTTCCTAGAGAGCAGCTCCCTCTTCCGAACCAGCCCATCGATCTGGGGGCTGGACTGCGCCCCGAGAGCCGGCTCTGCGCAGCCCGGGCAGCGAGGCAGCAGGGTGCACGTGGGAGAGGAGCGCTGGCCGGCGGGGTGCACGGGCCCCTCGGGCTGCACCCCCCTCGGTGCACCCCAGCAGCCGTCACCAGGCCGACCCCAGACGGAGGGCCCCGGCGCACCCCAGGTGCAGCAACGGTCAGCGGCCACTTCACAAGGACACAAAGCACCAGGGGCAGGAGCCTGCGGGCCGGGTCCCCCCGCCCACCTGCGCACGGCGCCCTCCCCTGCAGTGCTGGGGCCTCTCCTCCCGTGGGGAGCCCCGCCCCCCAGTGGGGCCTGGGCTCCCCAGGGAGGACAGGGAAGAGCAAGGCAGGGCGGGTCGGAGCCGGGGTCCCACACCCCAGTCAGCCCATGCAGACTCCCCTCCAGGGCAGGGGTGCGGCTGTCCCCACCCAGGAGGTGTCTGGAGAGGCTGGGGGAGTGCCGTGGCCACACGGGACGGTCGGGGGTCAGTGCGAGGGCCGAGCGGTCCAGCCTCTGCAAAGCTGGGTGCCAGGACCCCACCCCCGGGGTGCCGCAGTGCAGGCGGGCGTGGGGGGACCCGGCTCCAGGGGCGGCAGTGCAGGCCCCGACACTGGTGGCCATCCGGCCCACAGAGCTGCCCCCCCATCCCGGAGGCAGAGGGCGCCCGCCCCCCGCACGGACATCCCTGCACGCCCACACCCACGGCTGCGGCCTTCCCCACAAATCTCAAACATTTCCTGAGTCCCAGCAGCCAGTGCCCTGGGCCCAGCGAGCTGGACGCGGGTGAGTGGCGGTCACAGCTGCCGGG